GCCAGGCCGATCTCTCTTAAATTTTTAAGTGCACAATATGGTATTGTTAACCATAGACACAATGGTGTGCAGCAGATTTCTAGACCTTATTCATCTTATATAACTGAAACTTCATACTCATTGAACAGCACCTCCCCATATCCTACTCTTGCCCCTGGCAACCTCCATTCTACTGTTTCTATCAGTTTGACTATTTTAGATACCTCACCTTTGGCCTTCAGTGAGTGGCTTATTTCACTTAGCATAATGTCCTCGGGGTTGATCCATGTTGTCACGTAAAGCAGAATTTCCTTATTTTTAAAGGCTGGATAATATCCCATTGTGTGTATATACCACACTTTATCCATTCATCCATCAATAAACATTTAGTTTGTTTCCATATCTTGGCTATTATGATAATGCTGCAATGAACATGAGAATGTTTTATGTCTTTGAGATCCCAATTTCAATTCCTTTGAATATATAAACAGAAGTGAATTGCTGGATCATATGGTAGTTCTATTTTTAATTTTTTGAGGACCCATCATACCATTTTCCATAGCTGCTGAACCACTTTAAATTACAGTGTACAAAGGTTCCAGTTTTTCCACATGTTTGCTAACCCTTATGTTTTTTGTTTTTATTTTTTTCATAATAGCCATCCTAGTAGGTGTGAAGTGATATCTCACTGTGGTTTTGATTTGCATTTCCCTGATGATTAGTGATGTTGAGCATCTTTTCATATACCTGGTCATTTGTATTTCTTCTTTGGAGAAATTTTTACTTAAGTCTTTTGCCCATTTTTAATTGGATTATCTGAGAATTTTTGCTCTTGAGTTGTAGGAGTTCATTGAATAGTTTGGATATTAATCCCTTGTCATATACATGATTTACAAATATTTTCTCCCATTCTGTAGATTGCCTCCTCACTTTGCTGACTGTTTATTTTGCTGTGCAGAAGCTTTTTAGTTCAATTTAATTCTGCTTGTCTAATTTTGCTTCTGTTGCTTGTGCTTTTGCTGTAGTATCCAAGAAATTGTTGCCAAGTCCAATGTCATGCAGTTTTCACCTATGTTTTCTTCTAAGTGTTTTACAGTTTTATAGTTCTATATTTTAAATTTCAGTCATTAATCTATTTCAAGTTGATTTTTTTGTATGGTGCAAGATAAGGCTCCAATGTCATCCTTTTTGCATATGGATATCCACTTTTCCCAGCACCATTTGTTGAATAAAATGTCCTTTCCCCTTTGTGTACTCTTAGCATCCTTGTCAAAGACCAGTTGACAGTATGTGTGTGGATTTACTTTGAAGATCTTTATTCTGTTCCATTGGCCTGTATGTCTGTTTTTATGCCAGTTCCATACTGTTTTAATTACTATAGGTTTGAGATGTATTTTAAAATCAGGAAATGTGATGCTTCTGTGTTCTTTCTCAAGAGTGTTTTGTCTATTCAGGGTCTTTTATGGTCCCATATGAATTTCAGGATTTTTTTTTTCTATTTCTATAAAAAACACCACTGAATAGGATTGCATTGAATCTATAGATCACTTTCAGTAGGATAGACACTTTTTAAACATTAATTCTTCCAATCCATGAACACAGGATGTCTTTCCATTTGTGTTTTCTTTCATTTCTTTCATCAATGATTTGTAGTTTTCAGCATACAAGCCTTTTGCCTCCTTGGTTAAATTTATTCCTGAGTATTTTATTCTTTTTGATGCTATTATAAATGGGATTGTTTTCTTAATTTTTCTTTTCAAATAGTTCATTGTTAGTGTGTAGAAACAAAACTGATTTTTTTTTTTTTTGAAATTTTAAGGTCAGTTTGTCAAGTTCAATGATGAAAGCTATCAGAAGAGTATTCTCCTGAAAATAATTTTTCTTAGAATAAAAGAAAGGAAAATCAAAACCCTCTGAGCATAGCCACAGATGCTGTGGCAGTTAAGCCTTTCTGCAGATGGGGACGTCCATTAGTCAGCTGAGTCACTCTCTGGGTCAGCAGGATTGTAGCCCGGATCATCCTCATCATCCTCCAGCTCCAAGTCATCCATTTCTTGGAACAAAGACTTATCCACCTCCACATTGTTTCCAGCATCCTCCAAGAACTGGATATCAGATGTGTCAAGATTATGATCTGTTCAAGTAGTTGTTTCCCACTTAATTTATTTTTTCTTGCTCATTCTTCTTTTATGCTTTTCTTTTTAAGTTCCAAGAATTCTTTATCAAACTTGGCCTTCCAATTTAAGAAATTCTCTATTGTAATTGGGATGCCATGGAATAATTGCTTTTCAACCTTTTCTGCTTCTGTTTCTTGTTTTCTTTTCTTCTTCTCTTCTAGTTTTTATCTGATCTACTATATCATTTAATTTTTCTTGCACAGCTGTCACTGGAGTAAAGATCATCACCATACCAAGATTTTCTTCAGCCTGTACTGCTAGTAATCTTAAAATGTCTGAGACATCATTCTCTTCCAGATTTTCCGGAGGGAATATTTCATAAAGGGGAACTTCATCTGGGTATTTTTCACTGTATGTAAACTTGAGGGTAGTCTGGACAGTTTCATCATTTTCTCCAGCCTCAGATGTCACAGTAATGGTGAAACTGGGTGGATTTTCTGATAATACCATGAAGGAGTCAGGGTAGATGGACTCCTGCGCTGCTTCTGGCCGTAGTCTGTCATCGTGGCCCTTGCTGCTGCCAATGGATCGCCCAGACACCTAGGCGGCGCACAGCAGCGGAGACAGCCGGGAGAGCGCGAAACTCCCCGAGATGGAGTTTCGCTCTTGTTGCCCAGGCTGGAGTACAATGGCGCGATCTCGGCTCACTGCAACCTCCGCCTCCCAGGTTCAAGCGATTCTCCTGCCTCAGCCTCCCCTAGTAGCTGGGGATTACAGGCGCATGTCACCATGCCCAGCTAATTTTGTATTTTTTTGGTGGAGGCAGGGTTTTGCCATGTTGGCCAGGCTGGTCTCGAACTCTTGACCTCAGGCGATCCGCCCACCTTGGCCTCCCAAAGTGTTGGGATTACAGGCGTGAGCCGCCGTGCTCGGCTCTGTATTCACTTATTGGTTCTAAAATTTAACAATTATTTATTAAACATTTGTTCTGTGTAAATGTTGGAATCACTAACCACAACATAGAGATACGTTTTAAACTGTCACTCATATTATTTGACTCAACTAAATAAATAATCATAATACTTTGAATTCTAACCAAGTTAATCAATTATAAGATTTTCCTATAAGCCATTTCACAAATTTCTGTGTTTCATTGAATTGTGGACACAATAAGTACTGACTACTTAGAGCTGGAATGAGGCACAGGGTTTGCTATATTGACAAGTCACACCTGACAGTACTCTACAATCCTATTTGAAGTGAAGTGAGGACAGTTTTTTTGCACTCATATTTTTTAGAGTGATGTAGATAAAGCAAGACCAGAGAATTAAAGAGAATATGTATAATTTAGCATATGTGGTAGTCAACTTTCAGGAAGGCCCCCAGTGACTCTTGTCTCCTGGTACGCACGCCTTTGCACCCTCCCACCGTGAGTAGAGCTGACCTGTGGAACCAATGAGATATTGTGGGAAAATAGTGTGTGACCTTTGAGTCCAGAGCATAAAAGGCATCACGGTTTCTACCTTGTTCTCTCTTGGATCCGTAGCTGTTGGGGAAGCCAGCTGCCATATCATGAAGACATTCAAGCAGCCCTGTGGAGAGGTCTGCCTGGCAACAAACTGAGACCTCCTGCCAAGAACCAACACTACTTGTCAGGTATGAAAGTGAGCTGCCTTAAAAGCGGATCCTCCAGCTCCAGTCAAGCCTTTAGATGGCTGCAACTGCACCTGACCTCTCAACCACGAGCTTATGAGAGACTCTGAGCGAGGACCACCCGCTTAAACGGCACCTGGTCTCCTGACACACTAAAACTATGTGAAAATAAGTATTTTTCTAAGACGTAAATTTTGAAATAATTTGTTATATAACAATATAGTATAGTGTGTAAAACCTGAAACCTCCAAAATCATTTACAGAGTTATATGTGTACAAGAATCCAGCAAGATCAAAATGTTTAACCTGACTTAGCAGAACTGGTTTATTTCTAAACTTTGCTTCCTTAAAAGTAACGTGTGACCTATTTTGTTGATATTTTTGTTGGAGGAGGAGGAGAAGGTGTGTGAAAATTTCTTCTGTCCAGGAAATTTGAAGACAGCGGTTCCCATTTGTGAAGAGAATCAGTGCTAATAAGTTGGGGTCAGCCTTCAAGAGCCATCAATATCCTTATGAAACAGAAGATAATGGGATTTTGTGTTAAGAAATAATGAGTATTTGAAGCAACAATGTATATATTTTAAAGTAGGAAGAGAGCAAGAGTATGGATTGCTGGATGTGAGCTTGTCTGAGAATGCATCCTGCTTCCAGGAAATGGCAAATGCACTCAGAGAAGAAAAGATTCCCCTGCAAGAGCGAGATTCCTCAGGAGCCTCATGAATCAGAGACCTCTCAACACCAAGAGCCTTGCCTCATTCTGTATTTGAGAGCAAATTTCTCTTTTGCAGCAGCACTCCATCATTTTACTACTCCTTAGGAGCTTAAGGTGTGGTCATGGCAGCAGTGCCACTAGGTTTTACTCTTTGCCATTTGACTCGCACCGTCTGCAATTTTCCAGGGCACCTGTAAGCCCAGAGGAACCTCCTGAGCACCCATAGGTGGGGAGGTAAGTGGAGAAAATCAGAAAGGCTTGACTGAACAAGCTTAAGACCCTCTCCTCCTCCCAACTGAGACAGCAATCAGTGAAAGCCCTTCTTATATGTGTATGCACTTTTTTTCAAGGGAGAAAGTCTGCAGCTTTCATTAGAGTTTCAAAGGCTTGTATGATCCAAAAAAGGTTGCTCAAATCTAAGAACATTTAAAATGTTAAATCCACTTTTTTTTTGAGACACTCTTGCTCTGTTGCCCAGGCTGGAGTGAAGTGGTACGATATTGGCCCACTGTAACCTCCACCTCCGGGGTTCCGACTGTTCTCGTGCCTCAGCCTCCCAAGTAGCTGGGATTACATGTGTGTGCAGCCATGTCTGGCTAAGTTTTTTTGTATTTTTGTAGAGATGGGTTTTTGCCACGTTGTCCAAGCTGGTCTCAAACTCCTGGCTAGTCATGTGCTTCATGTACATTATTTTATTTAATCCTCGTAGCAAGCCTAAGAGGTAGGTGAGTTAACCCTTTACAGTGAGTTAACATAATGACTATGTGGGATCTCTAATATATGGGGAGTCTGTAGACATCTACACATTAGGTGGTTTGCAAACAACTAATGATGCATCAACAATTCCTGAAATCAAATATGTAGACAACAACTAATAGGCCATGAATTTGATATATGCTAGTATGTGTCATGACTGGACAGAAAGACATACTTTTGTTGCTTTGAGATTAACCCTCGGATCCAATGTCAAATACACTATTTGCTAGCTTTTTTATGACAATTCAACAATGTCAGGAAAGTATTTTTATAATTGGCTATAATTAATGCATAGCTGTAAGAGGAAGTAAATGAATTTTTATTAAAAATAGACCTTTTAGATTGCTACCATCCGGCAATTAAAGCAGTTGAGAGAAGCTTTATGCTATAGCCTTGTGTATAAATTAGGGGAAAATGTGAAAAAGTCAAAACATGCTCTCAGTGACCTCCCACATCTTTTCCACACCACTCCCTATTATCTGCTTGCCTCTTCTATGCTGACATATACTTAAGGTCATTTATGTTTTTCTGAATGACCCCTGGACTACAGGACTAATGTCCACACATCACTCACCCAAACCTACATTGGGAATAAACTGGACTTTCGTTGCATTTTGTCTTTAAAAGAAAAAAGGCCACTGATTTGGCTGTTATGAATAAGAAGGAACTGGTCCCACCTACCTAATGTTTACTTTCCTCTGACCCCTGATTCTAGGCCAGGACACTTTCATGGTTCAGATACACTTACCTTAGGAATGAAAAGGGCGACAGTTACGGTGTTGAGTGCCTCGACTCGGCAATGCTGGACCCCTGCCAAGACTCCTGTTGAGGAAGATATTAAGAGTAAATTTTGGCCAGGCACGGGGTTCATGCCTGTAATCCCAGCACTTTGGGAGGCCGAGGTGGGTGGATCACAAGGTCAGGAGTTCAAGATCAGCCTGGCCAATATGGTCAGACCCCATCTCTACTAAGAATACAAAAATTAGCTGGGCATGCTGGCACACACCTGTAGTTCCATCTACTCTTGAAGCTGAGGCAGAAGAATTGCTCGAACCCAGGAGGCAGAGGTTGCAGTGAGCTGAGATGGCACCACTGCACTTCAGCCTGGGCAACAGAGGGAGACTCCATCTCAAAATAAATAAATACAAGTAAACTATTTTTTATCAGAACTTCATTAGTACAGTATAGATGTACAGTAACTATTGTAGGCCTAGACTTTTATCAGACCACTTTCAGAATCTTCCCCAGTCCAGCTGTCCCTGACCCTTTCCCCAGGTTCCTGGTCCATCATTGTAGAGATGTATCCTGACTGTTTTATGTCCTAAGGTTATTTCATCAGGAACCAGGGGCTCCACTCATTGGCTTATTTACACCTTGGAATCAAACTTAGAGTTGGAATTCTAACTGTAGTTGGCTCAGCTGATTTATCTTATGTAGGAGACAGTTTAGTAAGTCAAAATATTTTTCTATCCAGACTTCTCAGGCCAGACGCACTACCTCCATGCGCTGTCATCTTAATTCTATGACCTGAGGAAAGTTACATAAGTTATCTGTGCTTACATAGTTGCCATGCTATTTATTTTCATCTTGCTCAGGCTTAAATAGCTCTGATAGCCATTTCATTGGTTGTGATACTGTGTGGGGGACTTTTTAACTTTCTTCCCTCCATATCTGAGCCCATTTTGGTTTTCATTCTTAGTTTCTGTTTGAGGACAAAGTATTTCATCTTCTCTTTACTTTTATGTACCTCAAGAAAAAGGGTGCAGAAGACATAAGCTTGACTGAGACAAGCAAGACAGGCTGCCTTAGAAAACCTGGATCCTGCTCTCTTTGCTGAGTTGTTATTCACTCCATCTAGGTGAGAATTACATCTTATTCGCATAGGTGAATATCTGCAGACATCAGTTTCCACATGTTAATGAGTATCCCCAGAGCCTTCACTTTCATGAGAGTTAGTCCCATAGTTCACTTTCCCCATCTCATCTGACTTTCTCTCAGCCACTTGTAGCAATGTAAAGTGAGAAAACGGAACATGTACGAAGACCCATTGAGTTTGCTTGTCTACAAATTTGGGGATATTCATGTGAATCTCAGAATTTGGTATATTTATCAGTATAGCTTGAAGTGGGTAAATGGATGAGAGGGCAGAGTCAGGATGTAACCCATTCATTCTCTTCTGCTCTGTTTCATAGTATGTCTTTGTGTGCCTGTTTTTTATTTTTCACTTTTTCACTCAAGGGTATGCCCCCTTCATTTGTTGGTTTTTGAATTGGTAAATTTTCTTGATTTTTTTAAACAGATATTAATGTAGAAAATGTCTGTGATGTAGTTAGCCCCTTGGACATCTCAGAAATCCCCCAAACATGTGAGTTTTCCTCCACAACTGCTTAGCTTTTGATATGCTGCTAGAATCAGATGCTCTAGAGAATATTTCCAAGTCAC